TCACGTCTCATATCCCTGTAGCTATGACCCTGTTTCCTGCTTAGGCCCAGCTCTCCTTCTCTGAAATAAAAACAGAAACTTCTCAGTGGACAATCACACAAAGGGACAAGGACACTTTCCTGATATCATCATTGCCTCTTCAAAGACATGAAACAACGACTGGGAAATGCTGTGCCTTTTCTTAGGCAACTGTTCAAAACTCCATTCTCCGAGACCTTTCTCTAAGCAGCCATACAGGCTCCCGAGTCTGGTGATAAGAACATCAGACAGAGAGGAACTTGGTTCAAGTCTTTCGTTCTTCAGTTTACTAAGCAGATGACCTTAAGCAGATAATTTGCTTTATTTTCTGCCTCGATTTCCTTGAGTTGTTCTGGATCGTTGCTGAGGTCCCTTCTAGTGTTAAAAAATGGCCCATTGCTATTTGATCGTTGTAACTACACTTACGGGTGGCTAAAGTCTTTAAAAGGACATTGAGGTAGTGAAGCCTTCAGGTCTCTGTGCTCGACTGTGGGGGAAAAGATTTGGTTATAATGGTACCTCTTCAGCACGTATCAAATCGCTACTTTCTACAGAAAGTAGAGGCAACACAGTATAATGGAAAGCATATGGGATTTAGAGTTAAAGAGCTTGGATTTGGATCTTGGCTCATGCATTGAGCATCTCCCAATTTCTTCAAATGCATCAACAACAATAATAGTTAACACTTGGAAATCAAATTTTGCTAAAGCATAAGAAAGCAGGGGAGAGGTCCGTTTCTGTTTATATAGAATAACTAGTACCAAACGTGCCCTCCTGCTATTTAAAAAAAAAAAAAAAAAAAAAGCAACACACAAAATGGGGCACCTGAGTGGCTCAGTCGCTTGAGCCCCTGAAATGTGGCTGAACTCCACCTATCATCCGACTTTGGTCAGATCCTGATCTCAGGTTTGTGAGTTTGAGCCTGGTATCGGGCTCTGTGCTGACAGTTCAGACTCTGAAGCCTGCTTCAGATTCCGTGTCTCCCTCTCTCCTTGCCCCTCCCCTCTCTCCCACTCTGTCTCTGTCTCTCTCTCTCTCAAAAATTAATAAACATTAAAAATATTTTTAAACACAATAGCCAAATTATGGAAAGAGCCCAAATGTCCATAGGCTGATGCATGGATAAAGAAGATGTGGTATATACATATATATAATGCAATATTAGCGATCAAAAAAAAAAAAAAGAAATCTTGCCATTTGCAACAAAGTGGATGGAACTAGAATGTATGATGCTAAGCAAAATCAGTCAGTCGGAGAAAGACAAATGTCATATGATTTCACTCATATGTGGAATTGAAGAAACACAACAGATGAACATAGGGGAAGGGAAGGAAAAATAAAATGAGATAAAAACTGAGAGGGAGGCAAAGCATAAGAGACTTAAATACAGGCAACAAACTGAGGGTTGCTGGAGAGGTGGGTGGGGGGATGGGCTAGATGGGTGATGGGCATCGAGGGGGACACTTGTTGGGATGACCACTGGGTGTTGTGCGCAAGTGATGAATCACTAAATTCTACTCTTGAAACCAATGCTATACTATATGTTAACTAACTTGGATTTGCGTTAAAAAAAATAAATAAAAGCTACCTCCATGAGGAAGGATTTAAGAAAAAAATGAAAAAACCTATAAAGCTGAGCATAATATAAAGCAACAGCTTTAAGCTATTGGACATAGGCAGTGCAGGACTTTAATCACTGAGAAAAGGAAAACATACCAAGCGAGCCCCGCATTCATGTCCATTCTCTGCCTCCTGGCAAAGTCCAGAATAAGACACAAGGAAATAAACATGAAACAGACAATAACTGTCCTGCTGAGCTGAGGGAATGAAGATTGGAGTTTAGGGAAGGATACCAGGGAGGAGACAGCTGTGCAGTAGGGCTCACGGGTGACTCTGTTGGGGTTTCTCATAAGTTATTGGCTGAGGATTGGGCTGTACGTGTGCAGGGCAGGACTGTGCTGGACGTAGCAGCAAGAGGCTCTTATTGGGTTGAGAGTGGAACAGAGATCCTAGAGGCTGCACGGTGCCCGGAAACATGGAAATTCCACCACAACCAGAGTGGAGAGCCCTCAGTAAAACCCCCAGCATTCAGCTAAGATAACAGAAAGGCAACATACATCATTGATTCCTTACAGTGTATCATCCAAAATGTCTAGCAACACATTCGATTTTTTTTCAACAGACAAAATATGACTCTAAATTGACAAAAAAGCAATCGATACAAAGAGACCACAAGATGGTCCAGATTTTAGAATTAACAGACAAGAATTTTAAAGCTGCTGTTAAAAATGTATTTAAAGATGTAAGGAAAATACGGTTCGAATAAGAGAACAAATGGAATAAGAGAACAGAGTAAGTCTTATCAGAAAAATGAAAACAATAGAGGAAAACCAAAGGAAAATTCTAGAAATTATAAGTAAAGTATCTGAAATGAAACAATTCATTCAAAGAGCTTAAAAACAAACTGCAGGGGCGCCTGGGTGGCCCAGTCGGTTAAGCGGCCGACTTCGGCTCAGGTCATGATCTCGCGGTCCGTGAGTTCGAGCCCGGCGTCGGGCTCTGTGCTGACAGCTCGGAGCCTGGAGCCTGTTTCAGATTCTGTGTCTCCCTCTCTCTCTCTGACCCTCCCCCATTCATGCTCTGTCTCTCTCTGTCTCAAAAATAAATAAACGTTAAAAAAAAAAAAAAACTGCAGTTAGCAAAAGACAGGATCAGGGAGTTTGGGGGCAGACTCCTAGAATTATCTAATCTGAAAAACAGAGAAAAACACCAAAAAACAATTAAAGGCCTCAGTAACTTGTGAAATAATACGAAGCTCTCAAACATACATGTAATTGGATCTCCAGAGGCAAGGAGAAAGAGAAAATGGGACAGAAAGATTTTTTTGAAGACATAATGTTCCAACTTTATTAAATTTGGTGAAAAAACAACAGCCTATATATCCAAGAGCTCAGCAAAACCCAGCAGGCTAATTACAATGAAAACCGCATTCAAGCACATCATAGTCAAATAGCTAAAAATCAAAGATAGAAATTCTTAAAAGCAGCTGGTGAATAATGATCTGTTGTACACAAAAGAATAGTAACATGATACGAGGTCAATTTATTTATTTATTTTTAAGTAGGTTCCATGCCCAGCATGGAGCCCAACATGGGACTCAAACTCACGACCCTGAGATCAAGACCTGAATTGAGATCAAGAGTCAGACGCTCAACCGACTGCGCCACCCCAATATAAGGCCAATTTATAGTAAAACTAAATGTATTCCTACATACTAAGAATAAAAAAGTATAAAGATAAATTTTATACATAACTTCGTTCAATACGCATAAAGCACTTGGGGATCAACTTTCCAAAATATGTACTAGAACCGTATGCTGAAAATTATACAACATTTCTGAGAGTAAAGAAAATTGAAATAAATGGGCAGGTATGCCATACTCATGATGGGATGACTTCTGTTTGTAAACGTGTTGCTTCTCCCCAAATCGATCTGCAGATGCAATGCAATTTTAGTCAAAAGCTCAACAAAATTCTTTGCGTAATGGACAAGCTTAGGTTAACAATATGAAAATACAAAGAACTTAAAATAGCCACAGCAATTTTCAAAGGGAAAGCAAAGCTGGAAACTTTAGAGGACTTCATGTCAAAACTAACTATAAAGGTCTGGTAATCGGGACAGTGTGATACTGGTGAAAACATATTCAACTAATATCGATGGAATAGAACCCCGAAATAGATTTATTTACGCATACTCCACTGAGTCTTAACAATGGTCTCAAAGTAATTCAATTGAACTGGATCCACTAGATGTACAAATGGGGGAAAAAATAAATCTTTACCTCATACCATATACACAAATTAACTTGAAATGGATCATATACCTGAAACATAAAAGCGAAAGTTATAACATTTCTAGAAAAATATATAAAAGAAAATGTTTGTGACCTTGATTTCTTAAGACAAAACCACACTCCTCATAACAGAAACAAACAAAAAAAAATGCTAAGCCAGACTTCATGGAAAATAAGATTTCAAGCCCCAGCAGTGGAGGGGCAAAGAGAGAGGGAAACACAGAAACCGAAGCAGGCTCCAGGCTCCGAGCTGTCAGCACAGAGCCCGACGCGGGGCTCGAACTCACGAACCGCGAGATCACGACCTGAGCCCAAGTCTGACCCTCAGCCGACTGAGCCACCCAGGAGCCTCATAACAGTTTTATTTAGAATATCTAACACCTTGAAACAACGCAAAGGTTGATCAACAGAGAATAGATACATTGTCGTAGATTCTATAAAGAAATGTAAATTAGAAAGTAATAAAAAATGGACAATAATTAAAAATGAACAGAAATTAAAAACGAAGATTTCTGATACATGCGATAGCATGGATGAATTTCCAGACTCCAGATTAAATAAAATAATACTGTATTATTTCACATATATAAAGCTCTAGAAAAGGGTTAACTATTTTATAATGATAAAAACAGATCAGTGGCAGCCGGAAGGTCGGGGTTTCCATGAAGATTTTGACTTCAAAGGGGTAGGAGGGAACTTTCTGGGACGACGTTCCATTTTATATCTCACTAGGAGCAATGTTCCTCAAGGGTACGTATTTGTCAAAAGTACTGAACTCTATACTTGAAATGGGTACATTTCACTTGATGTAAATTTTACCTCAATAACGTGGATTTAAGAAAGAAAAAGCATTCTAACTTTGAGCCATAGGTGTACTCTCCTCTCTCGTCCCTGGAGCAGCATGGACACATTTTTAGGCTGAAAAGTGATAGTTGTATTTGTAAACAAATGTCCCTTTTACCCCGCGAAAACTAAGAAAAGAACAGGGTGGGGTAATACAGATTTGAAGAGGGAATTTAAGCATTCCAGGCAAGAGCACTGACCTGGAAAGGGTTACACCTGTGCATATTCCATTAAGAAGATAATCTGAGGGTGTGGACAGGTAAGAGACAATTAGGAGGAAGTAGCTAGCACTGATTCAGAGGCTTTGCCACGAGAGGCCTTGGAGATGGAGTCTGGCGCCCCTTCACCAAATGCGTGCTCAAGCACTGGCCCTGAGGCCAGCCGGATTTGTGTGAACCCTTTCAAGAGGTTCCTGAAGTGCAAGAATCCCTTCACGCCTGCGGAGGAGTCCATGCCTCAAGGAGAGAGGTAAATGAGGCTGGATTCGCTGACTCCGAGCTGGAGGAGAATCCCACTGAGATCTCTGACCTAGTGAGGAGAGAGGGCTGCTACTCGAACATGATGTTCAGAAGGAAAACTTGCAGAATTTTTTCCCCTCTTGACCGACGACTCTTGCTTTGACCCGGTGTCAGTTACAAACCTTCCAGTTGAAGCATCTCCCAGCCCCCCAAGATGAAGAGCCAATTACCCTGTGATTCTTTCTGCTTCCTGTCTTGTAAGGGACGCTGGCTCTTCCTTCCCAGGTCTCCGCTGCGCTCTCTCCTAAGTTCCTTGTTCTCACAGCCTACGTGAGATGAAAAGAAAGACATTACAACCCTATTGGCCACATAAAATTAGCTATTTCTTTCTAAGTCTCCAGGGATATCGGGAGGGGTACTGAAATAAGCCAGGGAAGGGGGCTGAAATGCCTGGTTCAACTGAGGTTGGGCGATTTTCTGGCTTTCTATTTGCGCTCAAGCTCCCTGGCCCCTGTATACGACTCTATATACAATTGGCAATTTCACTGAATGAGTTCTTGCATTTTCTTTCTTGTGCAGCAACTAGGGATGATGTTTGACAGTATAGCGATAGGGGTAGTTAAACCACAGAAAAGAGCGTCCACTGGAGACTGGGTTCGGATCCCGACTCTGCCACTCATACTAGCTGGGCAACCGAAAATAGGTCAACTGATGTCTCTCAATCTCAGTTTTGTTATCTCTGATACGGGCATTGTGAGCTATTGTTATTTATTATGGGTTCTCACCCTTCTTGACTTCTTGGGAGCATTTTATCCTATTATCCTATTTTATCCCACCCTATCCAGTTCCTGAAATTCCGGACTCCCCTCCCTCAACCAAATCACTTACCGTGGTGCCTTGCACATCGTAAGCCTTCAGCCGATGGTGCTTATTACTAAATCTTAGTGTCATTACGTTGGATTTCTGAACATGTGGTACAAAACAGACATTAGGATATTAGTGGCTTAGAGACACCTCACACGACCATGTTTTGCCAAATGAGAATGTGGAAATCTCAAGTATTTCTTTGAGGACCGTGTCAAAGACCCTGAGTCTTAACTCAGAATCTAGGGCCAAAAGTAGATTTCGTCTGAGCCTGGACTGCATAACTCTGAGCTTTAATGAATGGTCAGCAAGAGAAGGGTTCTATCCCTTGCCTTTTATCTCAAATCGAATTTCCATGTTAATCCCTGTTGATCTCTCTCACTGTGACTCACTCGTGTTTTCTGACATCTTATTCTTTGCCTCACCTAATCATGTCTTGACCTGCTCCTTTGCCTTCAAGGATATCCTTCCACACCTCATTTTTGGCATCTGTCTTCTTCCCCAGCAACAGATACAACTCCCTTTACATCAAATTGTATTTTTCATCCCTTCTAAACTGCTCTTATCTAACGGCTTTCCTGCCCGGGTCTCACTCTGCCCAGTTCAGGTCTCCTGTGGATTCTGGATCATGCTAAGTGCTGGAGAGATTATGGCAGACGAAATGTCTAAGGAAGTCCTTGTCCACAAAACGTTTACAATTTCTTTAGGGAAATGGGACAAACTTGAAAGATGAATTCCACAGACAAGAAGTGATTCGGCACCCTCCGTATACAGGCTACTTTATGGGGCCCCGGAGATAAGATACACAGTAGTCTAGAAGCTCTGGTTGCCTAGTCACCTACATAATGTCGAATATAGAGCCATATTAAAATGACCCAGAGCGCAGGAACAATCACCAAGGGTAGACTGATCAGGGAATACTTCCTGGAGGAAGTGGAGCCTCATTTGAACTTGAAAGAGGGTATAGTTTAGGGACATGGCCAAGAGGAGGAGGGCCTGTTGGGCATTCCAGACTGGAGAGCAGTGTGAACAAAGGTGTGGTGTCAGGAATATTGTAGGTAGTTTGGAGACAATGAATGCTCTGTTGAGCGGCAGCTGAGAGGTAAGATTTTACATGGCTTTGAATGCATATCTAAAGAGCTTATCTTAGATCCTAGGGCTGTGTTTCACAGAGCCCGAGGGCTCTTCAGAAGAGATCTCACATTTAAAAACTCAGTTGGTGCAGGCGGGATAGAGGGAAGCTAACCAGGCAGATTTCAGCCATCCGTTTCCAGGTAAAACTGATCCCATGCTTCCTGTTTGATATATTGAGGGATTGTGTAGGATTGTATTTTGCAGAAAGTCTTCCCCTGCTTAAAGAATTGAAAAATCCTTGTTGTAGATAATAAAAGTCATTAAAGGGTTTTGAGCATAGACTATTAGAATTAGGATCCCACATGAGTTTATATCTCATCCAGTATGTAACCAAAGCAGGAATCCTACTTAAACATCCCTGACATTGTTTCTTTAAAAACTATTCCTGTGACCAAAAAACTACAACTTTACATGACTTTTCATCCCACTCTTGGATACCTCTAATTCAGGAGATCCTAACATGGAATCCACAAATCCCTTAGAGATACCATGAACTTTGATGGGCTATATATATATATATATATACACACACACACACACACATATATATATATATATATATACACACACATATATATATATATACACACACATATATATACACATATATATATACACATATATATATACACACATATATATATGTGTGTATATATATACACACATATATATATATGTGTGTGTATATATATCTTTATTTTCCCCAATTGCCACTTGAAATTGACCATTTCTTCTATTATGAATGTAGGCAACAAACCCTAGTAGTATGATTATCAATAACCAAAAAACTCAGATATGTTCAAACAACTTAAAATCATTGCAGATATCTTCAATTTTTTTAAGACTAAAAAATTGTATTTCCATATAATTCATTTCCTGCGAAATCTTACACATTTTATTTTCTGCACTTAGAAAACATTATTCTGGGGCGCCTGGATGACTCAGTCATTTTAGCATTCAACTTCATCTCGGCTCAGGTCATGATCTCACAGTCGTGAGTTCAAGCCTCACCTGGGGCTCCACGCCGAAAGCATGGAGCCTACTTGGCATTCTCTCTGTCCCTCCCCACCCCTTCCCCCACCGCACAAGCACGGGCACACTCTCTCAAAATAAGCTTTAAAAAAATTTCTTTAAACCATTATTCTAAGCAGAGTTCATAGGATTTCCAAAAGGGTCCAAAGGCACAAGATAATGTTATGAAACTACGTTATGTTTATGAAGTTGTTTTCTGTTGATCCAGAATTATCTTCCTCTAGTGTTTTCCCACTCTTCCCACATTTCTCCTCTAGTGCTACATAGCATAAGTCCAATGCTACTTCTACCTGACCGTCTATCAAATATTTGAAGACAGCTATCACATGTCAATAGGCTTTTCCTCTCAAGCTAATCATCCCACATTTCTTTTTAATTTTTTTTTCAACATTTATTTATTTTTTGGGACAGAGAGAGACAGAGCATGAACGGGGGAGGGGCAGAGAGAGAGGGAGACACAGAATCGGAAACAGGCTCCAGGCTCTGAGCCATCAGCCCAGAGCCCGACGCGGGGCTCGAACTCACGGACCGCGAGATCGTGACCTGAGTTGAAGTCGGACGCTTAACCGACTGCGCCACCCAGGCGCCCCTCCACATTTCTTATCTATCCCTCAGAAGATACGATAGTGGGTCCCTTCGTCATTCCGACCTGTTTCCACAGCATGCTCCACATGACCCATCTCCTTCGCGTGGTTGTACCAGAGCAAACATCTAGACAGGCAAGTTGTAAAGGCAGGACTTGGAATCTGTCTCAATTGTCTCAGTACTTCCTGTTCCCCCAAGTTATCATAACGTGAGCCCACGGACGGAGATATAACCACATGTGGCCATTGACTCTTCTCCCGTGTGAACACCCCGGGACCCAAACAAAGTGAATCCATTTAAGGCAGTATACTAAAGTAGTTAAATGGGGCTATGGCAGGTCTGCTTTTATAGCCTGTATTAGCTGGGTGACTTTGGGGAAATCGTTTGATCTCTGAAATTCTATTTTCTCGTCTGTAACATGAATAAAATCACAGTCCTTATTTCATAAATTGTGCATTAATTAAATGAGGTCATGCATGCAAAGTGCTTAGCACGGTGTCGTATCTGCTCCCTAATGTCAGTCAAAATAAGATAAGCATTACCCTCTTCCTTATCTCACCTAAGCCCGGGGCAGCTCCTCGTAATGCCCATCCATCCCGGTTTCACTCCCTTTTTCTGGATCCATAATTTAAATGTGTTCCCCACCGACTCTCGCTTTTCTCATTGCCTGGCTCGGCCAAGACCCACCTCCTCCTTAGAGGCTCACTCTCTCTTGAATTCCTATAGGAATTTTAAAGAAATAAGCCACTAAGACTGAAAGTGATTTCTAACTAAGGTTTCTGTGGAAATGTGCTCCCGGCAGTTTAGTTTTAAGAGGTGAGGGCTATATCCCAAATAATTAACTTCCTCTTATTTTGTCAGTGTGAAATCACCCTTTTAAACCTATCTAATGAACCTAGGGGTGCCTGGGTGGCTCAGTCGGTTAAGCATCCATCGTTGGCTCAGGTCAGCTATGCTGACAGCTCACAGCCTGAAGCCTGCTTCAGATTCTGTGTCTCCCTCTCTCTCTGTTCCTCCGCCAATCTCTCTCTCTCTCTCTCTCTCTCTCTCTCTCTCAAAAATAAATAAACATTAAAAAACCATATAAAAAAGGAAATATGAAATGGAGAAAGTAAGATAAACTACCCCAAAATATTTTCAGCCTATATCATTTCAGGGTAACAAGTTTCCTAAATTTGAATTCCACTGTACAAAATACTACACCATTTCCTTTGCCGAAAACTTCCTTTAGACTTAATCACATGTTCTCCTGGTATAAGGTCCCAGGGTCTGCATGGAAATCCGGTAACCCATGGGGTCATCCTCACCTGGCTTTGGTTATTCCCACATACAGGGTTTCCTCTTCCAGATAGAACCATCAAGATTGTTTTATCCTCTCTTAGGTTGTGTATCTTCTGCAACGCCTGACACAGTGCCAAGGGCATCCTCTCTGTTCACGAAGCTTTGAGTAGCCGCTATAATCGGTCAACCAAGAATTGAACGTCCCCTCTGGGCTAAGGCTTGGTTAGGTGTTGACGTGCGGGTAAGACAGTCTCTAACCCGCCCCCCAAATGCTTCCAGCTTCATTAGGGAAAGAAATAAGGCAAATAAAATATAAAGACTAAATATTATATGTATCCTAGGCAGTTTCCTTTCCAACCTGAGTTATCTTTCTGTGGGTTTTCTCTTCAAGTCCTAAACGTAAGTCAAATTCTAATTAAAGTGAAGATGTTTATATCCTCTTCTACCAAACATGCTTTCTCTCACGAGTTCTCACGTTTTCATGTGTCTCCGCCCCCCCCCCCCACACACACGCATATCCACTCTCACTTTCTGTCTTTCCTCTGTCTTCTAACTTCAACTCGCTCAAATAACAAGTAGCTCTGATGTATCACAAAATAAAAGTCTATGGTGCATATCCTTCCAAATTGTTCTCATTTTCTTACCACTCCTATTGAAACATGCATCCCCCCCACCCTCCCTTAGTGTGTAAAATTCCGGGAGCTAGCTAGGAGGAAGAAAGCAAATGGCACCATTTAAAATTTTACTTCTACGGGGTGCCCGGCTGGTTCAATGGATGGAACCTGCAACTCTTGATCCCGGGGGTGTGATTCAAGTCCCACGTTGGGTGTGGGGCCTACTTTAAAAACGTGTTTTTAAAAAAAATAAATAAATAAATAAATAAAAACGTGTTTTTGGGGCGCCTGGGTGGCTCAGTCGGTTAAGCGTCCGACTTCGGCTCGCGGTCCGTGAGTTCAAGCCCCGCGTCGGGCTCTGTGCTGACAGCTCAGAGCCTGGAGCCTGTTTCAGATTCTGTGTCTCCCTCTCTCTCTGCCCCTCCCCTGTTCATGCTCTGTCTCTCTCTGTCTCAAAAATAAAGAAACATTAAAAAAATTTTTTTAAAAACGTGTTTTTAAATAAATAAAATTTCACTTTTCTATTTTAAGAGCCACTTGTCCTTTTAAATAGCTTTATGCGTTCAAGCAAGCGAATCTGATACTTTTGGGGAAGACTTACTGGGGCCTTTCAAATCCCATCATCAAGAGGCTTCCTCCTCAGGTAGGACCATTCCAATCCCTCTTCTAAGCTGTGTCTTACTTGAGGATGATTAGCCAGGGCTATGTTTAGTTCTCTATGGGGTTGCATCATTAAGTATAATGTAAGATCGTGCTGATGCAGGCATTTGTCCATCAAAATCTGGATCCACTAGATGCTAAATAAGTGGTTTTTAAATATAGACTAAGTGACATGAGCTATTACATCTGAACAAAATAAGCCTGTAGCAAACACAAGTAGCAACATATATAAGCAGAAGGTGGAAGGACAGGAGTCTTGAAAGTTCTATGTTACCCGGTAAGGTTCAGGAGGCATTTGGAATGTTCTTTCTAGTCACCCAGGGATGACTTCTCAAAAAAGGTAGGCCTCTCAGGAGCTGCAGACTACAGACTGAAGAGCCCTGGGAACATTCCAGGCATATGGTGCAGCTTGGGAAGAAGGCTCAGGGGTGAAAGTAACATATTTGGGTTTGGAAAAAAAAAAAAAACCAAGAAGCATTTTGCCAAACATGTTTTTCCCCTCAGTGTTCAAAGTGAAAAAAGGAAATGCAGTCCATATGGTTTGGATTCATTTATGCTCAATTATGAAGAGCTTCAAGACATTTTCTAACCTCTTAAGTTGTTAGGCCCTTTTTCTCCCTGAAGAACAGGAAGTCTTCATTTTCCTAGCTTAAGGGAACTTGAAAACTGAACGATTTATGTTGGACTTCAATATATGAGAGTTCCTGAGTTTAAATTCAGACAGACCTGGTATAATCCAATGTCCAAACTGGTGCCAGTGATGTTTGTCTCTACTCAGAACCCTCCGTGTGGTACCTTTCAGAGACATTCTGATTTGGTTTTTGCCTTTAAATGGAGGAGAATATACTCTGAAATAAGAAAATACAGGGGGTTCAGAATTTGTAACTGGGTTACTGATGGCTCGAGCCCAGTTGCGCATCTGAACAAATTACCTCCATATGCGAGCATAGCCCTGTTTTGTTTTGTTTTGTTTTTTTTTACAGTTTTTACATCTGCGGGGCGGCGGGGGTGGGGGGGGAAGAATACCATTTGATTTTTAAGCCTTATGTGAGCACTTTGATCCGAGAGACCTCTTCCACACAAAAATAGCGTTTTTACTGACTTTCCTCTGACATGCCCCAATTCTTACATTTTCATTTTGTTCACCGCTACGAATTGCCTCATACACTGAAACACACAGAAATACATTATTTCTGCTATAAATTCTATGAATGGGAGGTATTTGAGGAAGGCCATAAAGAAGGAGAAGGCGGGGGCGCCTGGGTGGCGCAGTCGGTTAAGCGTCCGACTTCAGCCAGGTCACGATCTCGCGGTCCGTGAGTTCCAGCCCCGCATGGGGCTCTGGGCTGATGGCTCAGAGCCTGGAGCCTGTTTCCGATTCTGTGTCTCCCTCTCTCTCTGCCCCTCCCCCGTTCATGCTCTGTCTCTCTCTGTCCCAAAAATAAATAAAAAATAAATTAAAATAAAATAAATAAAAAAAAATTAAAAAAAAAAAAAGAAGGAGAAGGCAATCAAAGTGGAGACTTGGACCAGTGATGGCACCACAAAGATATTATTCCGTCTGTTTTGGCCCCACGATACTCAACCTTAGACGTTGATCTTCACGTATGCTGTTCCACCCTGCCCTTCAACCTGAGCTCTAAGAGATACTTGGCTTTCTAATTTGCATCGCCTCAATTTCCATTCCGTTATGACTCTTTCCAGTGTGGAATCTGCAGTCAGCAACATGCTAACCACCCTGGGGAAGTTGTGACCCCAGGAAACATGGTGGCCT